AGGGGGGGCGGTTGGGGGCAGAGGAAGGGGGCTCTGGGGAAGGGCATGGGATGGGGACAGGAAGCTCCTTGCCAGCTGGGCTGCGACACTGTAAAGCCTGTGCCCCTCAGCACGGGGCCGCAGGTGCGGATTCCCTCGTGGGGCGCCCATGCCGACGCCTCCAGCCTGAACCTGAGCCAAGCCTGGGCAAGTGTGGAGATGGGGGGGCAGGTGGAAGGAGGCGCTGGGGGATTCCACTGGGGAGGAGCGAAGCCAGCGGCCTGGCCCACCTCCCAGGTCAAGCCTCGGTGAAACTGGCTTCATTAATAGGTAACTGATCCACCTGCAGCACCTGACCTGCGGGCTGGCTCGTGATGGCTGGCCGGGGTCGGGGGGCTCCCCGTGCCAGCTGCCCTGCCTGGGCCTCCCAGCCCCAGCTCTGCTTTGCCAGGCTTTGCTTACCAGGCCTTTGCCAGCCTGGCACCTTCCCCAGGAGGGAATCCGGGTTTGCTGGAGGGCTAAGTGGACAGCCTCGCCCTGGTTACCTTAGTGACACCTTTGCTACAGAACCGGTATTTGTGGAGGATTAGCAGCTGCCTTATATATACATTGGCCTTTGGGGAAAGACAAAGTGGAGTGTCAGTTTGAGCTGTGTCTTTGCAGGGGCCCTAGCCTGCCCTGCCCTGGGGAACTGGGCTCAGCCACTGGCTCTGTTACTCATTGGGCACCAGGCAGAGCCAATCGCCATGGAGTTTTCCTCTCTCACACTGCGGGTCAGAGGCCACAGTGATGGACACTGAGCGAGGCCCCAAATGGGCACTAAGGACTCGGCAAAAGAACATAGGACATCTCCGCATCACACATGGGGTCCCCCGACAAGCCTTAGGGTGTGAGGATCTTGCAGGATCCACCCACATTTGGGTTTGTCCTAGTCTATCTCTTTGCAACGTTATTTCTGTAATCCACACTGTCCTCCCTCTGTACCCCCCTCACGCCCAGATGTGGCTGGGGCATGACACTGAAGTATTTCCATTCGCTAGATAGTGCATGTCTACTAAAATTGACTCTGGATCTGATAAGATTATTGCACGGCTGAGAGGGTGGTTGTTACGGGTCTGCATATGATTAACACCTGTCTCGGTGTAAAACGCTAATTGATTTTCCAAACTGCGGGCCCATGTCAGAGGTCCTAGCAAGCTGCTCCGATGGACCAATGCTGCCGGATCTGGTCCGGTGCATGTGGAGCTGGGACACATACACAGCTCTTTCATAAGGCCGGGTTCCCCTCCCATTCACACAGGTGGGACTCCAGAGCCCGGCCACGGGGTCCGTTTGCTTACATGCACTGAGATCAGTATCTCCACAGAAGGCAGCTCACAGATCAATAGGTGTTTCCGGGAGGTGAAACAATTAGCCGCCTCAGCCTCTCTTGGGGACGGGGCCCTGGTGCCGCACAACAGTGTGTGTTGTGTCTCACTCTTGCCTGGTTTGTCAGGCCGGTCCCTTCTGTGGCTTGTGGTGCCCACCAGTTGTCTCTGCTGGCTTGGGGCAGGGGCCGTGTCTTTGCTAGAAGTGTGGATAATGCTTAGCTCACTCGGCGCTGCCAGAGAGCGAATCCTCGACCCGGTACGCACGCTCGCTCCCCTGCTGCTTGTGGTCTCCCTCCTGCCCTGCGCCCTTTCAAGCCCCTGCGCTGAGATGGTGGGAGTGGGCCAGCTGACTGACTGATCAGGCTGTAGCTCCCTTCTCGAGTGAATTTCTGTGCGTACCTCCAGCCGGCCTCCTGCCCTCTTTAACTCTGCTGTGAGTTGGCACCTCGTGCCCTGAGAGCAGAATGTGTGCTAGGGCAGCTGACAGGACTTCTCCAGCTGATTTCCGTGGCACCCGAAGCAGCCGGTCTGCCCAGCCATCTGTTTAGTCCAGGCTCTCTGGCACCGAGTCGTTCTGTCAGCTGGATACTCGCACTTAGCCCAGTGAACACAGGACGTCTGACTGACCACCTGGCTGCTCTCTGACTGCTCCATTATCCTTGAGGTAGGAGTGACATCTGCCCACTTCTCTGCTTCTGGATCTGGGTTACCCCCCTGCCCAGCCTATGCAGTGTCTCTTTTCATTGCCCTCTGCTCCATCTCCAGGTGGGATAAAGGACAGCTTTTGCAGCAGGGACCCCTAGCTTTCCCTCTGGGGTGCCTTCCCCTGGTATGTTCTAACTCGGCTCCCTCTCTAAGAGAACTCGTCTCTTGCTGCCGGCATGTATTTCTTGCTGCATTTTCCTCACACACACCCCTCCCTCCGTGGAGAAGAGTTTTCAGGGAGCAGGGAGAGAGGTCTTGCTCCAGCTTCCCAGCCTTGCATCTCAAGAGGAGACGGGTGACTTACCGCATAAAAAGAAAGCGGAGCTGCTGGCTGAACTCCCTAATCAGGGAGGGGGCTTGGCAGGGAGGATGGTACGTGAAGAGGTGTTTGGCCTTGGAAGGGTGGGGCAGCTCCTTACCGAGTGGCAGTGAGAGCACAAATTCCCCCCACCCCGTCCCCCATGGAACTGCCAAGGGGGAGAGCCAGTAAGCAGCATGGATGTATGCCCAGACCCATGCCCTCACGGACACTTCTTGCACATTGGATGACTGCCATTGCTGGAGACCGCAACGCCCGTATCTGCGACGTAGGATGTGGTTGGCGCTCAAGCCCTCAAGTGTGAGGGGTGTCCACACTAGCCTGGAAGGGGCAGAAAGCACACGTACCTCGCAGCCCAGATTGCTAGCACCAAAATCCAGAAAATCCTCCACCATCATCTGCTGCTGCTGCATCAGGGCCGAGCCTCCCAGGGAAGGCTTTGTGGGACTCTCTCTGCACCTACCTGTATCTCTGCCCTTTTCTCCTGCTCCCTCACCTGCCTTCCTAAAAGCCCCTTCTGCTTTCTTCTCCCACTCCCTGCATCTTTCTCTAGAGGGCTCTCCTGCTCCTCCTGGGTTGGTTAACCACCCTCACGTGAGTCCTCCAAAGGGAAGCTGTTCAGTGCTGTTAGCAGTCATTTGTTCTGCACACAAATAATTGTCAGTAAATAACTGAGCGGGCCGAGTCCATGTACCCTGAGAGCTCAACCTCACCCCTATCATGGGGACTGGCTTTGTTAGCCAAGTTACTAACCATATGACAGCATAAAGTTCAGATCAGTCCTTCTCCGCAGGCTTGGCTGCTGCTGGGGTTCCTCCTACAAGGCTGCTCAGCCCACACTCTAGGTCCTCTGTCCCTGTGGAGCCACTCCCTGCTCTCTCTAGCCACTTCACCCCCTGCCAGGCGGCTCATCCCTTGTTTCTCGGGCAGGCTGTTTCAGGCCAGCGCTGCCAAACCTGTTATAATATCGTGTTTGTTTACACGGGAGCAGAGGAGAGGCAGGATGTTTGAGACCAGGGAGCTGGATGGTGGAGAGAATCCATTCAAGAAATCTGCTTCCCCCGGCAACTCGGGGCTCGTGTGTCTGGACTGGTCCCATCTCACTGGGGTTGTAAATTTGAGGCTGAGACTCGGGGCTTGGCCTGATGTAACTGGTGTAACTGAGATGAGGTGTGTGTTGTCTAGCACTGCGCCCTCTGCGGCTCCCCACCCCCTTAGCCGCCCTGAAGCTGCCTGGTCCCAGGGCAGGGCTGGTGGGTTTGGGCAGCGTGGGCCAAACTCCGCAGTGAGGCCGGGGCGGTTGGTCAGAGCCCAGGGGAAGGGCCGGCAGAGCAGTGCCGGGTGTTGGCCGGGGGAACGTGAGGGGCCCAGGGCTGAGCCTGGAGGGGTGAGTCCGTGTCCCTCCCAGGCTGACGGGGCAGGGGCACGAGCAGCTAGCATCACCGGTAAACAAGGGGTGGGAGGAGGCAGCCACTTGCACTGTCCTCTCCTTGGGGCTGCCTTCCCCCACGTAGGGAGCGGATCCCCTTGGCATTTACACAGGCTGAATCCCAGACCCACGGTGCCACGTTGTCCTCAGAACATGCCCCGTGTACAGCCCTGCTGGCCCCGGCCCGCTCCCCCCAGGCTGTGCCTGCCCCTGCACCGGCAGCTGCTGAGAGGAGCAGTCCTTCCCTGAGCAGGGAGTGCTATGGGGCTGGGAGAGGCAGGGGGGGGGGGGGGGGGGGGGGCTGGCCTCCCGGCTCCTGGATCTTCCAGCTCCTTCCCTTGGTGCATGCCAGGTTGTTACACTCTAGTTTGGTGACCTCACAACCACTGCCATGGCAACGGCTTATGAAGTCACAAGCAGAGCTGTGCCGGGAGCAGGGGAGGAAGGAGAGAGGAGCTTTGCTTGGAGTGCGAAGGGATCGGCGTGTCCCCGGGCGTACTGGCTGCAGCCCAGCGACTGCACAGCCCTGACCTCGCTCCCCGCGGGCGGGCGGCTCTGTCTCCCTGCAGAATGAGGCCCTCTCCGAAGGGTGCTGGGGTGCTGCTCTGCCGTCTCCACCCCGACGTCTCCACTTGATCCCGCGCTCCCGTCTGCCACCTGCTCTCGGCTGCCTGCCGGAGGGGCTGCCCGGGCACCGGGAGCCCTGCAGAAAGGGGGACCACCATGCTGATCAAGGAGTACCGGATCTGCATGCCGCTCACCACCGAAGAGGTAAGCGCGGGGCAGCTGTCCGTGGCGGATGGGAGGGCGGTGTGGGCTGGACGCCGGGCAGCCAGAGCGGGAGATGGACCACGCTCCGCTCGCCGCATCCCGTGAGCCAGGGCGCTCTGGGGAGGCGCTGCCCAGTGTGAGGGGTACAGGCTAGCAGCATGGGGCAGCGGGGGGCTCAAGTGGGGAAGAGGAGCTGGGTGGAGAGGGATAGCAGTAGCTGGGGAAAGGGGATTCGGGTCTGCTGGGGGTGCGGGGCCAGAGCCAATGGGAGATGAAAGGAATGATGGAGGGTTAGCAACAGGCAGCAAGGAGGGGAATTGGAATCTAATGGGTATAAGAGAACGGGATTGCAGCAGGTGTGTGGGAGACTTGTCGCTGTGATGGGGCAGGAGGCAGTGTGGAGTGAGGTGAGGAGCTGGGGGGTGTGATGGGGAGGGTGGTAACGGGGTGACATGGGGAGCTGGAGGCTGTGATGGGGAGGGTGGCAGTGGGAGATCCAGCTTAACTCATGCGGAAGCTTAGTCCAAACAGAGGAGTCATTGAAAGTCTACTCAGACAGGATTCCCTGACCCTGCTTACTGGAATCAGTGCTGTAAATGATGTGTAGAAGAGGACTGGGGGCTGTGATGGGGAGGGTGGTGGTGAGGTAGGGGCTGTGTTGGGACTGGGTGGCAGTGGGGGGTAAAGGCGAGGAGTCAGGCAGCGTGGTGCAGGATCTTGGCTTTCACCCCGGTTCCAGGTGGGAGGATCCGGCTGGGAGCACGGGGGGAGTCGGGCTGGTGGGGACGCTGGCCAGATCCCGCCGAGGGGGGCTGAGCTCCCTGCCTTGTGTGTCTGGCTGGCTGAGGAAATCCCCAGAGGAGGGCGACTGAGTGGCGCGACAGGCCGTGGGGCTGCAGATACTAACAGCAGAGAGGGCAGGGTGCCAGGCGGGGATCCCTGCCTGGGTGGGGACCTGGGGCTAGCACCTGCCGCCCACCCTGCTCTGCGTCTCTCTTCCCTGCCAGCTGCCCTCCCTGGCACAGCAGAGAGCAGGGCAGGGTGGGGGGCGCCTGCCACCAGCTCTGGCCACTCCCAGCCCAGCCAGCCAGGGGGAAGTGCTCCGAACAGAGGCAGGGGCGCAGTCTCTGCAGCCGGGGGCAGGGGGCCCATGGGAAGAGGGGCACAGGGGGTGGGAGCTGTTGGCTCTGAGCGTCTAGTCTCACACGGGGAGGAGGGAGCCAGGCAGCAGTGTGCCACTTTCTGTGCCCGAGGCGGGACCTCCCAGGCGTGTCGGCCTCCAGCTGGCCCCCCGGCTCCGAGCCACTCCAGGGCACAGTCACAGATTGATGCCAGGGAATTTGTCCCATGCATCTGGGGCCCAGCTGGGGAACAGGTGAGACAAGGCTGATTTCTGTTGCCAGGTCTCTGAGCAGTGCCATCCAGCGGTTCTTGGAGTGTACCTAGTGAGTGGTTGCTGAGGTCTGGGCTCCTTCCCTCACCGGATCCAGTGCTGGGGGTCGAGCAGGCATGAAGCTGGGAGTAGATGATCTGGGTGTTAATCCTAGCATACCGCTGAGTCGCTGTCTGGTGGTGGGCGTCTGCCTCAGTTTCCCCATCTGCACAATGGGCTCAGCAATCCAAAGGCTTATATAAAAAGGCCTCCACAGCTCAGCATCTCACGTTGCTGTCTGGGGGGCACCTGCTTGCATCCAGGGTGAGCAGGCTGGGCAGACGCTGTTGTTTCCAGCTGTCGTATCGCATTACACCCCAGCACCGGTGCGTACGCTGTGTTCCCGGGGTTCCATTTCCATGTGAGCAATCGCTGGACTTGCCACTGGGGTGCTGAGCGAGGGGGAAGTGGGTACGTGAGGGGAAGATGGGTGAGAGAGGACAAGCCTAGGGTTCAAATGTGATTCACACCGTGGAAATGTTTGTGCTCAGAGCACCGCTGTGAGCCTGAGCCTGCGGGCGGTTGCCTGTGAACTCGGGTCTGTTAGTGTGTGTGAAGCAAAAGCACGAGGCAGGCATCGGTGGGTGCTCAGTGAGGTGGTTTCCGTGTGTGGTGGCAAGTGTGAAAAGGTCAGGGGCTGGTAGGTGGCATTTCCGAAGGTTATTTTCACCATGAAAAAGCTGGGCAGAGTCGGACAGGAAACCACAGGCTGCCGCAGGCAGCAGCCCTTGGGACTCAGTGATGGGTGCTCCTGGCTGTTCCCTAGCACGGCTTCTGGAAGTCACAGGGTGGGTGCCATGCAGCTCCCCCCACAGAGAGGAACATGGTAAGGGTCCCTGGGCTATGGGACCCTGCTTACGCCGCTCTACATCCGGAGTGGTGTCTGTGAAGTCGAATGGAGTGACTCTGCATTGACAGGCTTGCAGAATTTGGTTCTGTGCTCTTCAGACGAAACATGAAACCAGGGCCCTGAGCCCTCGTGAGCAGCAACTCGGCTCTACCCCGGCCACATACCCCCAGCGGGGTCCCTGCCCTCTACGTCACAGATTCCCCGGCAGCGTCCGGTGGGCACGGCATCCCTCCGCTCCCTGCCCTGCCCTCTTGGCAGGGTTGCTTGCTCCGCTTCAGAGGTGGCCGCATGTTAGCAGCAGGGGAAACTCTTCCTGGATGCGTGTGCGGTAGACGTGGTGGGATGAGATCAGCCGCGAGGGATCGTTGTAAGATGTGCATGGGGCCCGTCTCTGCCTCGTGCCACAGACCCGCTCCAGTGCCAGCTTCCCTGGCCCCCAGGGCTGCATGCTAGCCAGGCTCACTGTGCAACAAGTCTGCATCATGTCTGCTCATGGCTCCCCCCACGATCTTCTGGTGTCGTGCCAGGTACTCGGCACAGGGGGCGGAGGGCAGCTGGTCTGACTGTGGGAAAAGGGATCAGGTGCCAGTGGCAGATGCGGAGCAGCGTAGGGGGGAGGGGGCTGCGTGGGTTAATCCATCGGCTCTGTCTCGCCCAGCGGAGTGAGGCCTGGGAACAGAGTCCGCCGTGGAGACGGGGTAGATGGAGGCAGGGAGCTGCACTTGCTGAGAGAAGAGAGCTGGAGGGAGGCGTTGTCGCTGCGGGTGGGTGCTGGAAGAGGAGAGCCCTGAGTTAGCCTGGGGGGCAGTGACCACAGGGGGGCCCCATGCAGGCAGGTAGGCTTAGCTCCTAGCACGGCGGGGCCTGGCCCCAAACCCCAGCCACTTCCACGGCCAGGTCTCCCTTCTCCCCCGGGAGCTGAGCTCGAAGCGGGTGTGGGGCAGGATGTGGGGCAGACAGCGCAACGCTGCTGCTCAGCGGGGCAGAGCGAGAGCAGGCATGGGGCTGGTGGGGTGGGGGGCGAAGGCTTCAGGCCGCTGTGCAGGGCTGCAGCTTGCAGGCCGGGGTGGAGGAGAGATGAGGAGGGGAGGTTGTGGTTTGCTAGGTCGGCCTGGGAGCCCAGGGTCAGCGACACGCGAGGCCTCCCTGCACGGGAAGTGTCAGGCAGGCAGCTTCCTGCCTCCTGCAAAAGGCCTTCGTTACCGTGGCAGCATGCGTCATGGAAACTTCCTCCCTGATAGGTCTTCTGAGAAACCGAAGCGAAGGTATGTGTGCACTCTGCTGCGCACGGAGAGCCCCGGGCACCAGCCCTGCCTGGCGCCCAGGGAAATAGCTGCCCTGCTGTCGTCCCGCCCAGCTCAAGCCTTCAGCACTAGGCAAACACTCACGAATCAGCACGCGACCTCCTGCAGGGGACAGGCGGGAGCATGTGGGGAAACTGAGGCACACCTAGGCCAGCATCTCCCCTGCTTTTTAGAGACTAGGACAATGCTATTGCCACAAAGGGGTGTGTGTGCTGGAGTGATGGGGGGCTTCCCCCCCTTCCCACAGAGCTTATGCCCTATAAGTCTGAGATCTGAGTGCCCTTACAGCGTTTGCTTGACTAGCTCTGCTGCTTAGTGTAAGTCCTTCCTATGCCTGGCTCCTTGGGGTGGCCTGTATGGCCTCTGAGCACCACCCACCCCACGGGAGATGCAGTCTCTGCCGTGGTCAGCTGGCCGCACTGCCAGGGGACCCTCCTGGTGGCTGGATGAATGTGTTCTGGGTACTCTGGAAAAACCAGGCGCTGGGCAGCATGAGAAGCCGCCTAAGTCTCAGGCCTCCATTGTGTTTGAGTGTTGACACTTCAGACTGAAACCCGCGTTGTGTAGCGTGGGGGTTCCCGGGCTTTTTCTGGGGCCGCTGCAGCAGAAGCACGCAGCCGCCTGTGCATACCTCCGTGAGTTACTTGTATTGCTGTAGCACCCACAGGCCACGAGGCAGAGCCTGGCTGGGCAAGGCGCTGTAGGGACCCCTCGGGGTGTCAGCCCCAGGTCTGAATTCGCAATTAGAACTCTGGCAAAAAGCCGTTAGCAGCCTGCAAAGTGAGCGGGGGGGCTTTTCCCTAGTGCGAGAAACAATGGATTTGTGCTGAGAGCTGTAAAGGGGTAACTGGAGCAGCCCCCGGCAGGACTGGGCATGCCATGGGCAGGGTCTGCTTCCCCCGCTCCCGTTAACTGCTTAAACGTATCATTTAACTATAGAGTGCAACCAACGGGTTTTTACAGCCCTATTTTGATTGATTAAATACAACCGGGGGGATTGTAGACCCTGGTAGCTGGCGTGGTCTCAGAAGCTGGCCATGGCGCGGATGGGGCATCATTCAACACAGCAGGCCCTCCTCGAGCAATTAGTCCTCTTTCTCGCTCAGCATCGTAGGACGAGGAGATCCCAGCTCTGTAGTGTGGGCGCTAATTATTCCATGACTAATGCTGTGCATTGTCATTGCTTACAGCTAGCCGTGCCGACGCCGGCGGCATAATGCTCAGCTCCAGGCGGCCTGCAAGCATTTACCACTCGTAACCTCCGATGCGTTTGCAGACAGCTACTTTTAGAAGGAGATCTTGACCTTATTCCTGCTAACTGCTGTAGGCGTGTGCTAGTGGTGATTCCCCAGGAGAGTAGCAGCAGCAGCCTACAGCACGCTGCCCGAGCTGGCAGAGAGCTAGGAGTAGCTCA